TTAGTTATATTTATAGTTAACAGGCTGTATCCACTTTATTTTTTTAACACCTTAATATAAATGATGTAAATTATATCTCATTCAGTTTAATTTTTTCAAAACTCATTTTGTAAAATTTTTATAAAATAATAGTTTTATATTTTATTTTTACAAATACAACTAAAAATGTTGTAAATATAAATAGTAATATAAATAATATAATAAAAAAATGTAATTAATCTTATAAAAATGACTATAACAATTTTTATAATTATTTTATAGGAACAATACGCGCAGATATTTGACCATTGTCATGATGTCAATTACATCAATAATATCCATGTCTGTCTTCACGGACCTTATGAAACAAAATTTGACATATAAGGCATGGATACCGTTTAACTATTCGTCTCCTACAATATATTCTGCTGTATATACTCATCAATTAATAGCTATGTCAACTTCTGGTATAGTAAATGTTGCTTGCGAGAGTTTAATTTGTGGATTCTTGCTGCACATTTGCTGCCAGTTTGAAATTTTGGAGCATCGATTGACAAAACTTATCCATGATAAAAATATTTTATCCGACTGTATTTGTCATCACAACCGTATTTTTGAGTTGGTTTCTTTTGTAATTTTACTTTGAAATATTCAAACACAATATATGACACAATACAAATTCTCATTTTTATATAATGATTATGTTTTAAATAATACAAACATGATTAAAGTATAAAACAAACATGATTTAATAAATATTATACATAAAGCTTCAATTTTAATTTAGAATCTCTTTAGAATCAATTTTTAATTCTTTATTTCTTATTTATTATAATTATAAAGAATGATAGAAAACTTGATATGATATATCATAGATACATAGACGTCGTTATTATATTATTATTAAATTTTATAATGAGAATCCAATTTTTAGAATATACAGAAAACTAAGCTTAATTTATTTAATCGCAGATACGCGTACATAGTGAATAATATGTTCGCGAAAATAATCGCTATTCAATTTGCTGTGAGTATGTTGGTAGTGTGCTCAAATTTGTATCGAATAGCTATGGCGACCGATTACATGAGTTTTATTCCATTGATAATGTATACAAGCGCTATATTAGTGCAGATCTTCATTTACTGTTGGTTTGGAAACGAAGTTAAATTAAAAGTATATCTTTCTTAAAATAATCTAATTTACTAAATATTGTTTAAAATAAAATAATTGCTACATACAAAAATAAAAAAATACATAATTAGAATTATCAGAAGACGTAATATTTTTAATTAATAATGCATAAAATATATTATATTGAAATTATATATTATATTAAAATATATTATATTTTGATTTGTAGAGTCTTCGATTGGTGAATAGCATTTATGATATAGAATGGCCGGCGCTTAGCAATAATAACAAGAAAGCTCTCTTATTAATTATGAAGCGCGCCATGATTCCCATCGAATTTACTAGCGCATACATAATTACAATGAATCTTGAGTCGTTTGTAGCTGTTAGTATCAAACAATTAAGATAGACATTATTACTAAATTATTTTGAAATATTTTTAATATATCTCCTATTTTTTTTTCAGTTGCTTAAGATGTCGTATTCAATTTTCAATTTGCTACATCAAACGCATGAATAATAACATAATTAATAAATCAAAATTGTTATTGTTCACTTATATTCTGTTATAAAATCACATAAAAATATATTAAAATGCAAAAATAAATATTAATATTTCATTAATATCTATTAGATAATTTTCAGAAAATCTATAACGTTTTCATTGATAAAAGAACTTTTAAAAAAATTATTATATATAAAAATAAGTTTTAAGAATTTTTATTGAGAAATAAAAATATACATTAAAATATTAACATCAGTTTAAAAAAATATTAGCCGATATAAATAAAATCGTTACAAGAGCATTTTATGTACGTACATCACATTATAAACGCATTTATCATTAAAACAATTAATCTTGTGTGTGTGTGTGTGTGTGTGTGTGTGTGTGTGTGTGTGTGTGTGTGTGTGTGTGTGTGTGT